AGTTTCCGCTGTTGACAGTAAAATCAATGTCTCTGTTGGTTATAATCTAGAGCAAGTTCCTAATAAAAGAAAGTAATACTTAGAATAAATAAATAAGAGGAAAAAGGGGTGAATTATTTCTTATTGATAGGTATTTTGCATTTTTTGAAGCATGGAAAAAGTGGAATATTCTGCATTGCCTGGAGTCATAAAGATTCCAAAAGAATAGCAACCTGCAGTGGTGATGGTTTCTGGTAAGTACTATATATGATATTATGAAATTACACTATCTATAAAAGGCACATTTGATTATTCTAATTGTATGTCAGTGAAACTTCATTTCTATAGCTCTACCAACTGTCATAAATATTATTTATAAGCCCATATAGGCAGATGCTACCTGGCTATGATATATCATTAATAATTAACAATGAAATGATATTTTAAAAATAAAAAATAAACCAGTTATTTTCTGAATGAAAACACTGCCTGAATTGTAACTAAATGTTAGTAAATTGCTTCAAGGAAACTCTAAGGACTTTTCACAAGAATCTAAATAGTTCCTGACATGTTTTTGAAGGTGTAGTATTTCAGTTTTATAGGTGATTCCAGAGAGATCAGATGCTCTAGAAACTTGTTCACAGTTATGTAGATGCTATTATTTACATAAAGATAAAAAGCTCTTGTAAGAAGGAATAAGGTAACATGTGGGAAATGCCTTTTTTTATGAGCTAATTTCACTGACCCTGTATTTCAGAAATATGTGCTTTCTTAATTATGTTGTTCCAGGTAAAAGTAAGTTTCCAAGTAAAAATATGTAAGGGAAGAATTGTCTTCGTTTAAAAAACTTTTTTTTAGATCAGATGATGCTACCTAGTATCTGTGGCTATAGTTAATCTTTGACAAGTGTTGTAGATACTCATGGTTTTTGAGAATATAGAAGTTTGCTTTCTGTCAGGTTTTGTTAAACCCAGTTCAGTTTTCTTATTCCCGGTGGCTATAGTTAATCTTTGACAAGTGTTGTAGATACTCATGGTTTTTAAGAATATAGAAGTTTGCTTTCTGTCAGGTTTTGTTAAACCCAGTTCAGTTTTCTTATTCCCGCTTTTTAATTTCAATAGAAAAGACCATAGTTAGGAAAACCAAAGATCCTCATCAGGAAGATAATATTTTTTGGAAATAACAACATTAGTGAGTCTTTCTGAAGGGAACTATTTGTTAATTGGTAGATACCAAAATACAAAAAATGTGCCTAAGAGTTTTTTGATTAAGTGATGCATAATTAGCTTTACCATATATTTTCAGGGCATTATTTATTTGATAAATCCACATTCAGTGACTAAACATTTATAGGTCACCACCACTCCCCAGTAACCTCAGAAGTCTTGGTGGGCCTAATGATGTTTAAGAGGGCCTTTTCCAAATACTTTTAAAACCTTGTAATATGTTAATATATACACAGCATTTTTTTCCCCTAATGGAATCAATAGCCCTTGCATTGTGGAATAAAAGAGTAGAGTACTAGAGCTTTTATTTTATTTATTTATTTATTCATTTATTCATTTATTTATATTTTTGCTTTTTTTTTGTTTCTTTTGTTTTTTATTTTTTTTTAAATAATTAAATTATATTGGATCCTTTTTTGGCAGTGGGGGGTAAAATATGTTCTCTCTAGTTACATTACTAAGATCAACCATGAAAATGTTATAACATATATGTCTTGGTCTCGGTGTAATGGCACATGCAACCAGCTTTATAAATGAGTTGTTTTAAATATTATAAATTTTGAACTACTAAATTTTGAAGCTGCAAATCTGACGCATATGTTAGTTACATCATTATGTTTTAAGATGCATTGAACTATATTTTTCTTTAGCTAAAAACAATATTCTATAAGAACATAATTTCTCCAGTGTTTGATCCCTGTACCATCCAGCTGCCACCCACAAAAAGGAAAAACAAATGGTTTCTAAAAAAAAATTTATCACCTTTAATTTGATTTAAATAGATTATTAATGTTATGTGATGCTAATATACTCATAATTGCTAATATCATTTGTACAGTACTTTCAATTGTTCCTTTTGCTTTATAGACAAGGTCTCTATCCTGGAAAACATAAATGAAATTTACAGTTTTCACTTTCTTTCCTTAAATAGTGTATTTAGAATTTTGTTTTTCTATTAATATATTATAATTTCAGTATTATTCGAACAATTGATGGTAAAGTGCTACACAAATACAAACATCCAGCTGCGGTGTTTGGTTGTGATTGGAGCCAAAACAACAAGTAAGTATTTTTTTTCCCCAAAGTATGTAATAATTACATTTTGGTGATTTCAAATAATCATAAAGGTTAATGCTATTCCCAAAGTTAATACTCATCACATTAGGTTATATTCCCCTTGCCTAGCAAATAAGAAAAAGCCTTGTAGTTGCTCGTTTATTTTAGCTATTTTTATTCCATGAAGTTTTTACATAATTTAGAAATATTGATATTCTGTTCTCAAAACAAGTTTCTGATATTTTGGAAAAAAAACATACTGCTAACTAATGAAAATTGGAAATAAGTCCATCCTGTGTGTGGCTTCTACTAAGAAATGTGTCCATTTTTCTAATTCCTTTTAGGAATCTACGCAATGGTATTGTTCCACCATGATTTTCCATTGCCCCCCACCTAATGCTAATACCTTGGCATTAGATAATCTTTAAAGATGTGCAATTTAAGTGGATGGTTTGAAAGGTCAACTTTGCTTAAGAACTTAGTATTTACCGTCAGAAAATCAGCTTAGGTTTAAAACTAAATCCAATTCAAACCTCCACTAAAATTGCATCTCTCACTCACTGCATTTTCAAGAATTTTGTGTTTCAAACCTCTCTTTGATGGGTTTTAAATTATATTTAAAAATTCAAACTTCTTTAGATGTTGTCAAAAACAATGTAAATTTTTTATGGTTCTTTATACTACATGTGGGAAATATATTGATTCAAATATTAAAATCTTATTATACTTATGTTCTATTATGTTCATATTATACAAAATGATGGACCTATGTATTTTTTCCAGTAAATATAGAAGAATTTATAACACACTGTTAGGTTATATACCAAATGAGCTCATGACTCGTTCATCCTCCAGTATTTCCTATCTCAGTGACTGATATTGCTAACAACAAACACTGCTAAAGCCAGAATTCTTGGCCTTTTCTTTTATACCTTCTCTCACTTTTCATTTCCAATTAGCCACCGGTTCCCATCATATTCTTCTTTTTCCAACCATCCCCATACCACTAAACCAATAACATTTTTTTAACTTCTGTGGAAGTCTTCTAAATCAATTCCAGAATTTATTCCCTTTATTACTAATTCCTCTCTCTCCACCCTACCTTCTTTATATTATAGTCAGAGTGAACATTTAAATTGCAGATCTAAACATACTGTTAATCTACTGCTGAACATGCAGTAGATTATGAACTGCAGATCTGAACATCTACTGCTTAAATGTTTTAATTGTTTCCTATTGATTGTAGGATAAAATACAAACTCTTAGCAAGCCCTACAAGGAAGTCCCTGTGTAATCTGGTTCCTGTCTACCTTATTAATCTCTTTCCATGCCTTGCTCCCCTTTGCTCCTTTGCGTGCAGCCACACTGGCTTTCAGTTTCTTGAATTAGCCAGCTGATTTTCACCTCAAGGCTTTCACTCATGTTGTCCTCTTTATCTAGGATTCTATTCTCTACCTGATACCACATACCTTACCTGAGTTGGGCATAGATAACTGCTACTCATCCTTCAGCCTAAGAACCACTTCCACAGAAATGTTTAGATACCTTTACATATATTCTTTGAATGTTTATATCATTTCTAAGATTTTTATATTTATGTATCAGCATAAACATTATACAAATATATATTCATGTATACATGTAAATATATGTATGTATGCAAAATATTTTTTCCCAGATGTAGCAACTGGCCCATTTATCAGTGAGCCTTGGGAAGATGTAATCTGTGCATTATAAATTGGCATGCCAGTTTGGTATATTTCTGCGTGTGGGCTTAAGTAAATATAAGCATTATAACCCATGTGACAAAATCAACAATTTAAAGTTTTGGAAGGGTTTTGATGACAGGTGGGTTCCAAAGTTTGTAATTTCCTCTCTTTATCTTTAAACCGTAGGGACTGTTTATGTAATGATTAGAGTATATGTTCCTCATGCAGACTGTGTTCTGGCAGTTACATGATTTCCACAGGTCTGCCTAGTACTTATAATTCCTTAACTAAGAGTATTTTAAGTAGGGTACAAGTAGTTATTTAACTTACTTATTCACTCTTGTGAGAATAAAGAACAAAGAACATTAAAAGATCATGTTACATTCCCAGGGAATCCTTAGTTACATCATATAGTTAAGCATCTTAAGGAAGAGAAGCCACCAAAGAGGAATGGAAACTGGACCGTGACTTATTGTACAGTGAGACAACCCTGGTCTGCATGGAGCTTTTTCAGAATACTTCTGGGGAGGGGTAGTAGTGGGGAGACACTGCTATTTGTACACATGCCACAAAAAAATCTAACAAATGTCGAGGTCATGTAATAATAATTTGCTTACCAGCAAGTAAGCAAATCTCATCATTCACAATTTGGGACCCTTCTTAAGACCCAACAGTTGCAAAATATAAAATTTGAGAAACCTTAAAGAAGTTATGAGTCTGGACATTTTGAAAAATAACATTGAAATATAAACACCATTACCTCTGATCTAAGATACATGAAATAAAAATTCAACCAATTAAAAGGGAACACAGAGAGAAACTCTTTTCCTTCTGGGGCATTTTCTGCAAATGACCAATAGCATGATAATACATGATGTTTTTACATATGTAAGTTTTTAGTCCAACTTCATTCAGGAAGCAAAAATTCTAGTTTAGAAATTAGAACTGTTGTATATTTAAAAATTAATAGTACCAAATAATATCAAATTTTTAATATTTTAACATTCCATTGATGATATTTCAGAGACATGATAGCCACCGGCTGTGAAGACAAAAACGTTCGTGTCTATTATGTAGCCACCAGCTCTGATCTACCATTGAAAGTATTCAGTGGGCATACAGCAAAAGTATTTCATGTTAAATGGTCTCCTCTGAGGGAGGGAATTCTTTGCAGTGGTTCTGATGATGGGTATGTATTTTTGGATCCTAATTTTCTGGTCCTCAGAATTATAAGCTTGTATTTTCCTCAAAATATACATATTTATATGATCAAATTATATGTGAAAATATTTTAAATATGTACTTAACAAGTAGGCAGTTAAGAAATACCTAATTACATTCAACCAAACTAAATTTTACCCTGCTTAGATTATCAGTATATTTATGATCTTTATTTCCTTATTTATTTAGCTTACTATGGATGTTTATTTCTAGCTTATTAGGAAGAAAGTTAACAAATAAAAGTTTTAAAAGGATCTGTGGGAAAAGGGAAGAAGATCTGAAACAAATAGGTCTCTATAAGATATAGAAAAGTTTGTTTTTAATAATGTTTTTATGTTTAATACGGAAGACAACTGTATGCTGTTTTCATCAAGAATAGAATAAAAGATGATCATAAATTTTACCATGAAGAGAAGATATTTTTAAATGAGGGTGATTTAATGTTCTTCTGGATTCGTGAGTGTTTCTGAAATCTTGTCTATATTTTGTATTCCAACAAGATAGATTTATATAGCATAGTTTAATCACTATTTGAAGATGGAATAAATTTAGATTAAAAATATTGCCTTATGTAAGTAAGTCATAGTGTATAGTAACCACAAGTTTAATACTGAGTGCTTAGATATTTTCATACTGAATTTTTGGCTTAAATCCAAATTTGATGAGAGAAGCAATTATGAGATTTTTGTGGGTTATCACTCGAAATCTTACACTTGAAATCTCATTTCTAATATAGTAATCATGTGAATGTGAATTTGTTTATGAGATTATTTCAGTCTTTTAACATAGACTTTAGTGTCTACATCTATTATGCATGAAAAACATATAATCTTCAATCATTGAGAAATATTTTCAGAAAGTTAGTAGTAAGCACTTTATAGACTTTTGGTAATGAAAATTGAAAGGCTTTACTAAATTCTGGTTATTTGTCTCTTTAGTAGTCATTGTTAATATAAATGAAGATTATACTTCACTAATGTTATATAGCATCTCTAGATAAAAGTCAGAATTGTAGGGAAGTCGTTAATTACCAGTATACTCATGGCAGAACTCATATACACCGTGCTTCAACCGGGAAGTCTTGGACGCTCCTTATGTACAGTGAAGCACATTAAAGCCTTTCCTATGTTTGACCAAAAAACAAACATTGTGATTTCAAAGCCTAACTAACTAACATATAGCATGAAAGGATGGACACCTGTTCTAGTGGCTCATACAATAACATTAAATTATTATTTTTTAATTAAATTTTTAAATTTTAATTGACATAATTATACATACTTATGGGATACATTCTGATGTTTTGATACATATATGTGTTATATAATAATCATGTCAGGGTAGTTATATCAATATGCAAAAATCAACTCAAAATGGATTAAAGATTTAAATGTAAAACCCGACTATGAAGCTACTAGAAGAAAACAGGCGAAATGATCCCCAGCATGGGGCTGGGCAAGGAGTTTTAAAACAAGAATTCAAAAGCACAAGAAATAAAAGCAAAATTTATAAATGGGATTACATTGAACTAAATTATCTTGATACAAATCACTTTATTATTATTTATGAAAGTATATCAGACTTAAAATATTTACATGCTAACATGTATAAGAAATTAGCACCAAAGAATTTAGGTTATATATATGTGGATATATTGTCCTGTACTAGGACAGGAGATAAAGAAGAAGATTTTTTATACAAAGCAGAGAGAGATATGCCTTAAAGAAATATAAATATGTAATATTTATATTACATATAAATCCTTTACATGTATATTCTTTATAGTGCAATACAACCTTTGAAGTATTAATATTTTGGTATTGTCACATTGGTATAAATCTGTGACTAAAAAATTATTGTGAACTGTCTAAGCACAATTGGCATTTGTAGGGTTTAAATTAATTTTAAGTTCAAATTTTAATTTCAATAACATTTGTAGATTTTACAATTAGTAAGTCCAAGTAATATTATGAAACCAGTTATATTTAAATTTTTTAATTGATCTGAGTTTGATTCTATACTGACCAGCAACTTACTTTACTGACAAAAACATGAAGGAATGCTTTACTGTATTGATAAATGCATAAGTATGAAGTCATTTTTAAATAATACCCATCATCATACATGTATACTTTTATGATTTACAAATAATTTGAGTGCTCCTAAATTATTGTATCTCTGTTTTTAGTCATATTTTATCTTTCACTGTATCTGTTCTGGATATTTAATTTTATGAAAGCAAATTTTTCATGTATAAACTGTGAAATGATATATTTACCATCAGTAATTAACGACCACTAAAAATCAGGAAAGAAGACATTTGGAATAGTATAACTCTAACCTAGTTAAAAATTCATTTCTGTCTGCTATAAAGAAGAGTATATGAGGTGATGGGTTTATTATGAGGTGATGGATTTATTAATTAGCCTGATGTAATCATTCCACATTTTAAGCATATATCAAAATATATGGATACCATACACACACACACACACACATATATATATATATATATATATATATAATTATTATTTGTCAATTAAAAATAAATTTTAAAAGGGCATCTTAATATTTCTTGAAACGTAAAAGACTTTTTGAATATACTAAGAATATTCATTGTGTTCCATTATGAATATATTTATACTTTAGATAAATGGTAACTTGAATGTTATTATATATATAATATTCTGTTTTCAGTTCTGTTCGAATCTGGGATTATACTCAAGATGCTTGCATAAATATTCTTAGTGGACACACTGCACCTGTGAGGGGATTATTGTGGAATACTGAGATTCCATATCTACTAATATCTGGCAGCTGGGACTATACTATAAAAGTATGGGACACTAGAGAAGGAACCTGTTTAGATACTGTGTATGATCATGGAGCTGACGTATATGGTAAAGTGTTTTTTATGTATTTGCTATTTGGATGTATTAATGCTTATAATTTCTGAGCAATACAGTATATTTTAAGAAGTCTTGCAGTGTTTTATTTTAAAAACATTTCTCTCATTAGAAAATATACATGTTTATTACTAAAATATCAGAATACACAGAAGATAATAGAAAAAGTCATCAGAAATTATAAGAAGATGACCATTGTTAGCACTGTGGTGTCTCTTTCTTTCTCTCACTCTCTTTGCAGGCGTATCTGTGTTTCTGTACACACACACACATGCACACACACACACTGCACACATATACCCATGGACATATTTATATGTATGGCTTGGATTTTTCTCCTTATTCATATCACCACTCCAGAGTTGTAGAACAGTAAATCAATAATTGAGTAGATATAACTTAGTTAGCCTTTTCCCTATTCTTGGATATTTAGGGCAATTTTTTGAATATAATACTAAGTTTTTTTAATAGAATTGAACTGGGTACGGAAAATCAGATGACTTACTTATCCTTTGCACATCACTGTACTTTCATTTGTATTTGCATTTACTCTCATTCCCAAACTGTGATGGGAGTAAGTGGGTGGATTAAGGCAAAAATGTTTTCTAATAGAAAGTAACCTCAATCCATCATTCAGATTTATATGCTTTACCTCAGTGGCCTTCTAGCTGAGACAATGTGAGATTGAGTGTAGGAGAGAATCCTATTTGTTGATATTCTAAATTGAAAGGTCCCCAACTCTTTCTTCATCTTGTGACTAGTACTTACATCTATCCATCCATTAATTCATAGATACCATGTACTCCATTGTTATTACTGCTTAACCACATGAAATATAATTTCACATGAAATGTAATTTCAACATTTTCTTCCAGGACCATTTTCTTTCTGATAATTATTCAATTTTATATTCACATTTACAGAACATACTAAATAATTTATTATATCCTCATATTATTTTCAATCAAGATATTAATTAAATGAAAGTAGAATGTTGACTCTGAGAACTTTTTAGTTATGCACATTTTTTCACAACTTTAATGTGGTAAAAGTTTTATGAGGTGCATATAAATAAAAAATATTTTTCATTGTTTAGTTAAAATTGGTTTATTTTTTCCATCAGGTTTAACATGCCATCCCGGTCGCCCCTTCACTATGGCCTCTTGCTCCCGTGACTCTACAGTGAGACTTTGGTCATTAACACCTTTAATCACTCATTTACAAATAAATATTCTGGCAGACAGATCTTGGGAAGAAATTATCGGGAACACTGGTATTGAGCATATGCCTGTCTCACATTTTATTTTTAAATGATATTTTATATGAGATCCTTTCTCACAGAATTATGTCTATTACTCAGATTATGCTATAGAACAAGGCGCCCCTCCTCTCTTGTGTGGTAAAGTGTCGAGAGATATTAAACAAGAAATAGAAAAACTATCAAGTAATCCTCGGGTCAAAAAACTAAGATGGTTTTCAGAATGTTTATCAGTAAGTATTAGAGGAATTCAGTGTGAACATTTTCCCTTTTGCCAGAATGAAACATTACAACTGCCGTCATTACGTTGTCTAGTGTTTACATGCACCATCCCAATTCAGTGGGTCCCTCTTAATACAATCTATACAGCATAAAAAAGTGAATGTAAAACCAAAAACAATAAATGAGATAATGTACATTTATTTTGTTAATTTTATAATTTAGATATGCCTGCATTATATTTTTGAAGATGCAAAATGCTGTGCGGTTTTTAATTCACTATTTTATCTTTGATTATTCTGTATCAACTTTTTAGCCTCCAGGTGGCAGTGACAATTTATGGAACTTAGTTGCTGTGATAAAAGGGCAAGATGATAGCTTACTTCCTCAGAACTACTGCAAAGGAATAATGCATTTGAAACATCTGATTAAATTTAGAACGGTGAGTAAAATGTGCAAATATGTGCTCAAGCAAATTTGTTTTTGCCTTTTTGCTGTTAAGGTATAAAACTGATTTTAAAAATTAAAATCTATATGATGACATTGGTGGACTGAAATAAGTGAACCTTGAAGAGATAACTCTTCAGCAAAACCTATCATGAGAGGATGAATTATTTGAGAACAGATAAAGGCAGTCATGGTTTTCATAGGTTGAATCTCCTGAAATTCTTCAAAGGTCACTTGGAACTTGTCTTAGTCCGTTTTGTGTTGCTATAACAGAAATACCTGAGACTGGGTAATTTATAAAGGGAAGAGGTTTATTTGGCTTACGATTCTGGGACAGCTGCATCTGGCATGGGCCTCGGGCTGCTTGTACTCATGGCAGAAAGTGGCAGGCAGCCAGCGGATACAAGCAGATCACATGGTGAGAGAAAGCAAGAGAGATGAAGCAAGAGTGAGAAAGAAAGTGCCAGGGTCTTTTTAAGCCACGAGCTTTCAGAGGAACTACTAGAGTGAGAACTCACTCATTAATCCACCCTCCCCCAGGGAGAGCATTAATCCATTCATGAGGGATCCACCCCCATGACCCAATCTGTTTCCAACACTTCCACATTGGAGATCAAATTTCCAAATGAGTTTTGGAGGGGACAAGACATCCAAACTCCATCATTCTGCCCCTGGCTCCCCAAAACTCATATAACTCTCACATACAAAATACAATCATTCTATCCCAATAGACCCAAAAGTCTTAGCTTGCTCCAGTGCCAACTTAAAAGTCCAAAGTCCAAAGAGGAGACCAAAAGCAAAAGTCCTTCCAGCTTTGAACCTGTAAAAGTCAAAACCAAATTTATCTACTGCCAAGATACAATGGTGGAACAGGCATTGGGTATACATTCCCATTCCAGAAGGGAAGAATAGGCCAAAAGAAAGGAAAATCAGGTCCCAAACAAGTCCAAAACCCAGCAGGGCAGGCATTAAATCTCAGGGCTGGCAAATCAGGTACCTTGATTCCATGTTTGACTGCCTCTTCACACTGGTGTGGGGGTTGGGTCCCCAAATCCTTGGGCAGCTCCACTCCTATGGCTTTCCTGATCTCAGGCCACACTTCACCTCTCCCAGGATGGTTTCCATTCTGGTAGCTCTACAGGTCTGGGAGATCTTGGTGATCCCGCTCTCATGGCTCCACTAGGCATGGCACTGTTGGGGTTTCTCTGCTGCAACTCTTACCCCACATTTCTGCTCCACGTTGGTCTAGTAGATGGCCTCTGCAGTGGTTCCACCCCTGCAGCAGGTCTCTGCCTGTGCGTCCAGGCTTTTCAATACATCCTCTGGAATCTGGGTGGAGGCTGCCACACCTCCACTGCTCGCATGTCTTGTTGGCCTGCAGACTTAACACAACTTGGATGCCACCGAGATTTTGGGCTTCTACTCTCTAGGGCTACTGCACGAACCACACTTGGGGCTACTCCAGCTGGGGCAACTGGGATGCAGGGGGCAGGATCCTGAGGGCAGCTGTGCCCCAGGTCTGTCCTTCAGGATAACTCAGTCCTTCTAGGCCTCAGGGCCTGTGATGGGTGGGGCACCCTTCCAGACTTCTCAAATGATGTTAGGGCATTTTTTCCATTGTCCTGGTTCTTAGCATCTGGCTGCCTCACCACCAAAATAATGTCTTTAGCAACCAGTTTATTTGCTTCACCCTTGCAGCATTGTTCTCTGGCTCTCTGCTTCTTTACCGCATGGCCAGGCTGCAAAGTTTTCAAATCTTTACACTCTGCTTCCCTTTTAAATTCTGGCTTTACATTATGCCTTTGCTGCCATAACTCAGAGTAGACTGTTAGAAGTAGCCATGCAGACTCCTTAATACTTTGCTGCTTAGAAATTTCTTTGGCCAAATGCTCTGGTTCACAACTCTTAAGTTCCAACTTCTGCAAAGTCCAAGAGCATGGACACAATGCAGCCAGGTTCCTTGCTATGGTGTAGCAAGGGTTATTTTTTGTCCAATTCCCAATAAGTTCCTCACTTCTATCTGAGAACTCATCATCCACATGGCCTTTACTGTCCACATTGCTATCAGCATTCTGCTCGCCACCACATAAGTCTAAGACATTCCAAACTTTCCCTCGTCTTTTTCTCTTCTTCTAAGTCCTCCAAACTCCTCCAACCTTTGCCCATTACCCAGTTCCAAAGCTGGATCCACATTTTCAGGTATCTGTTTTGCAACACCCCACTCTTGGTACCAATTTTCTTTCTTAGTCCATTTTGTGTTGCTATAAAAGAAATACCTGAGACTGGGTAATTTATAAAGGAAAGAGGTTTATTTGGCTTATGGGACAGCTGCATCTGGCATGGGCCTCAGGCTGCTTCTACTCATGGTGAAAAGTGTCAGAGAGCCAGCGGGTACAAGCAGATCACACAGCTAGAGGAAGCAAGGGAGAGGAAGCAAGAGAGAGAGAGAGAAGGTGCCAGGGTCTTTTTAAGCAACGAGCTCTCACAGGAACTAATAGAGCGAGAACTCACTCATTAATCCCCCTTCCTCCAGGGAGTGCATTAATCCATTCATGAGTGATCCACCCCCATGATTCAGTCAGTTTCCAGCACTGCCACATTGGAGGTCAAATTTCCACATGAGTTTTGGAGGGGACAAAACATCCAAACTCCATCAGAACTCCTTGAAATGCTTTATCTTTATCCTAATACCAGATTACTGTGACATATGGGCTATTCTGATTTCAGAGAACCTAATAGGCTGTATTCTGGGATATGTTTTATTAAAACCAATCACAGTATAGCTCTTAATGAATTTCAGTAGAGAAATATTAGTTACCTTAAACCTGGAACAATATCTGGTACTACCACCACCAACAACAAAAAACCATCCTGGGACCAGAAAGAAAAAAATAGCTTATATATTTTCTGAAATATCAATAGTTAACTGTTAGAGCACAGAGAGAATTGGGTCAGATATGTGGATCTGATGGTCATAAAGAACAGATTTTTTCATAAAGAGGAAGTACTTTTTAATCACAGACTGAACACCTATTGACTATAACTGCAAAATCTACTCACAGTACAGTGGCCAGTTAAAGTGAGCCAGTATTTTTTTTATTTTTATTTTTATTAGGGGGTCTTTATATATTTTTGACCAGCTGTATGTTACTTTATCACTGCCTTTTCGCCTCTGGACTTCTATATAACCACAACACCTGAAGAGTTTTAAGGACAGTGGCATTCACCCTCTTTCATTCAGTCTTCTTCCTCCATCCACACCAAAATATTATGTTTAAAGAGGTATCATTTTATAGAGAAAACATATTGTTTTTAAATATTTAATTTCCAGTGGTATATGCTTTTAAAATATGTATCCATATATTTTTATTACCATGTTATCACCAGCTCTTGTATAACAATATTTTTAAAATTGTATTTTCTTTTTAACCAGTCTGAAGCCCAGGAGCTAACAACAGTCAAGATGTCTAAATTTGGTGGTGGTATTGGTGTACCTACTAAAGAGGAAAGACTGAAGGAAGCTGCTGAAATACACTTGAGATTAGGACACATTCAAAGATATTGTGAACTTATGGTTGAACTGGGAGAGGTAATATACTATTAAAGTAAAATTAATGAATTTAACATAGTGTTTTAAATATTAAAAATATACTTAGTTCTAAATATTAAAAATATGAAGTTTTTTTTTCCAAATATAATTGATTCTCTGCCAGTCTGATTAATATCAGGAATATATCTTAGGACAGTAGTTATCAAGGTAAGGTCTCTAGGCTAGCAGCATCAGCATCACTTGAGAATATGTTAGACATGCATGCCCACCCCCAGAACTACAGGATCAGAAAATCTGGGGATGAAGCCTAAAAATTTGTGTTTTTACAAACCCTCTTAGTTATTCTCATGTATGCTTAAGTTTGCGAACCACTGCCCTACTCTAGAATCTTTACTTTTTAAAAATAAAAAATAAAATAACTATGTTGGGGCCGGCCCGGTGGCGCACTGTATAGTGCGCCGCTTGGGAAGCACGGCGGCGCTCCTGCCCGAGGGTTCGGATCCCACATACGGACCGGTTCCCGCTCACTGGCTGAGCGAGGCGCGGGAGCAACGCCGAGGGTTGCAATCCCATTGCCAGTCCTCGGTCCGGTATGGGGGCGACACTGAGGGTTGCGATCCGTTGCCGGACACGGAAAAAGACAAAAAAAATAAATAAATAACTATGTTGTCTAATTTGCTCACAATTGAATCCCCATGCTAATACTACTTGTCATAACTAAATCACACACTGGCTAGAAGAGAGGTTTCCACTGAAGATCATTCTGGTAAAGGATGCGCCTAAGGCACATCCTGATTTTTTTATAGAGTTCTGAATCAACGAAACAGATTTTTCAAAAAAGGTTAGAATGAATCGTACTATTTAAAATTAAGAATAGTGGCTACCTTTGGTAGGTGGGTAGTGACTAGAATGGAGCACAGGGGAGGAAGGGGCTTCTGTTTCTTGATCGTAGGTTCTGGTTACATGGATATATTCAGTTTGTGAAAATTCATTGGGTTTTTCCATTTTCTGCATATGTATTTTAGTCCAACAAAAATTCTCCCTCTCCCCACCCTGCCAAAACAAAGGTTGGAATGGCATGGACTCATTTCATAGTTTGTTATTTTTTTTTTCTTCCTTTTTGTCTTTTTTTGTGACCGGCAACGGATCGCAACCCTCAGTGTCGCTCCCGTACCAGACTGGGACCGGCAACGGGATCGCAACCCTCGGTGTTGCGCCCATACCTCGCTCAGCCAGTGAGCGGCTGGTCTGTATGTGGGATCCGAACCCTCGGCGGGAGCGCCACCGCGCTTCCCAAGCGGCGCACTTTAGCAGTGCCCCACCGGGCCGGCCCCATAGTTTGTTATTTTTGAAAAGCTCTAAATTAGTCAAATTTGTAATTACAAAATGTAATATTAAGAATACTAATATTAAGAATACTTGCAAATGATGTAAAATAAAACTAAACACTATGGTTACATTAAAATATATAAATATTAAGTTTAACTCACCATTTTACTTTCCCATATACTTATAGACAATGAATTACTGCTTGGCCTAAAATAGTAAAATGTGTCATTTAAAAGTTCTATCAAAAAGGCATTGTAAATTTAAAAGTATTTAATTTAGGAGCAATGTAAAAATTTTATTAATGAAGTAGTAAAGAGTTGAGTTTAAAGTTACTTTTTTAACAGGGCATTACTAGAAAGAACATCTATCAAAAAGTCAAGAGAAAAGGGATGAATAAATTTTGGTGAAACAATGTAATTCTTCTGCAGTAGCAGTCCGATATTTAAGATATCACTCATATGAGACGTAGAAACAAACAAAAAAGGTGGTTCTTATAGAAGTAAAGAGTAGAATAATGGTTTCCAGAAGGCCCAAGTGGGGAGGAGGAAAAGTGGTGGACTAATGGGTGCAAAACTATGCTCTCTACCCTAAATGAATCACTGTGTAGTATATGCATGTATGGAAACAACATACTGTACCCCACAAACATGTACAAGTAAGTGTTAAAATATTTGTAATTAAAAAATAAATAAAATGTTAAATTCAGATAAAAAAATAAAATATGAAGAGCAGTATTATCAACTATAAAAGAAAAAATGACAGTAAATAAAACATAAAAATGAGTAAGGAAAGAATAAAAATAGAAATAAATGGCATATTTGTCAAATATAAATAGTAGTGAGATAAAAATGTTAGTATTAATTATTTTGAACATAGAACACCATGGAACAAATTACTCTAGTGCTGTGTTAGAAGATGAGTTAACATGTTTTTCAAAATACTTCAGTTGCAATTTGTTTTCTAACCTTCTTTTCTCTCCCTCCTTCAGTCCCTTCATCTTACCTTCCCTCTTTTTATCTCTTTCTCTCTCTTTAGGATTGAGATTGGATTTTTTTGTGCAAAATAATAGAATTTTAAATATCTTATTTTATGTTAAAATATGTTAATATTTATCTTGTGTGAAATGTATGAGATAGAATACAAAAACATTCCTGGAAATCCAAGAACTCTAAAAATTCTGTATTATAAATATGAATTCATAAAGAGTCTTATTAAGAATTACTCAGTGCAATCAAAATAGATATGCTTCTGCTCTTCTTGCCTTCTATTCTAGTGGGACAAAGCCCTGTCAATTGCACCAGGGGTCTCCGTGAAATACTGGAAGAAGTTAATGCAGAGGTAAGACAGAGAGTCTGTTCAAATATCTTAAAATCATATGTTAAAATAAAAATAATATATAAACATGGTAGTAACTCTTGAGATTTTTTTATTATTTTGTCTTAAATAATAACTGAATTTTGTATCTGCTAGTACAATAAATTAAATAAGTTGGTTACAAGTCATCTTGGTGTTCTTTTATTTGGCCTGACCTCTGATGAAGACATTGGAAAGCAAATTTCCCTATGTCAAATCAATGGAGGAAAAAATAGATCAGCAAACATGCTCACTGATTAGTGTATTGTGATTGAAATAATAAATGATAAGATTTTCTGAAGGTTACCAAAAGCTTATAGAATAGTATTCTATACATAATCTCAAAAATTATCTCTGTAGCCACTAATTTCTGCCATTTCCTCTGTGGAAATAAAGGAGGTACTGATGATAAACAAGGGTCTGGCCACTGAGGAAACTTAGCTAAATATCTTTGTTTCAAAATGCAGTAAACCAAAGAGAGTTTTTCTCAGGTATATTAGTTTTCTAGGGTTGCTGTAACAAATTACTACAAACTGGGCAGTTTAAAACAACAGAAATTTATTCCCTCACAGTTGTGGAGTCTAGAAGTCCCAAATCAAGTTGTTGGCAGAGTTGGTTCCTAGTAGAGGCTCTGAGAAAGAATCATTTCCATGCTTCTCTCCTAGCTTCTGGTATTTCCCAGGAATGCTTGGCAGCTAGGGACTTATAGACTTACCATTCGAATCTCTGCCACATCTTCATATGCATTATCTCCTGTGTATCTCTGTGCCCAAATTTCCTCTTCTTACAAGGACAGTAGTCATATTGAATTTAAGGCCTGCTATGATCCAGTATAACCCAATATTAATTTAAACAATTATATAAGCAAAAACCCCATTTCCATATAAATTTACATTCACAGGTATCATGGGTTAGCACTTCATATCTTTTTGGTGGACACATTTCAACTCACAACATATAACTTTTGTCTATTCTATTCTATTCATTCAACAATTATTTGTTTAGTGCCCCCTATGTGCAAATCACCATGTAGGCCTGTACCTTGCTTCTGGCATTGAAAAGAGAAATTTTTCTTTTATGGGATATGTTTTTTTTTGTTTGTTTTTTTGTTTTTGTTTTTTGTCTTTTATCTTTTTCCGTGTCCGGCAATGGATCGCAACCCTCAGTGTTGCCCCCGTGCCGGACCGGGGATGGGGATAAAATCATCTGCTACTCACACACATGAATAAGACTCAATTAAAGGAGAAGCATGAAGTCCAAAAGGATTAACACATTTGCCATGGGAAAAAAGACTGCTTTCTAGCATCTGCTCTCCTAACAATAAATTAAGCAACAGACTGGCTCTAGCCCTCAGACTGTAGGCTGCCTATCCTAACTTTAAGAATCCAAATATTTCTAAGTTTCTGTACCCTCATAGCAATTATGAATGTTACTGCTCCCACTGAATCCTTAATAAAGTCAAGTTAGCAGAGGATATTTATTTCATAAAACATTGTTTCAACATCAGCAAAAACTTAATTGAATGCTGTGTATGACCAAAGTATAGTCACTCAGTGTTAATAACTTGTAGAATGAAAGTAAAAATTATTTTGTATTCTATATAATTATTGGCATTACTTTTCTAGCATCTAGTAATATTAATATGCCGTTACATTGCTTTATATGGTATCTATGGGTTTAAAATTGGCATGTCCTAAGATGTATTGTAACAGAGGAAACCTGACCTAGACTGGATCATTTAAACTTAGGTATAAAGGATAAATAGGATAGAACCAAATGAAGAGGCTAGAGAAAGCATTCCAGGCTTACGAAGCATAGTAAAGGAACGAAAAGGAAGCTACTGTAGCTGAAGTACAGGAGGCAGGAGGAAGTGGCAGTGCCAAGCTAGAGTGGAGAGGTAGGCAGGAGCCAGATGTTTTAGGGCTTTGTAAACATGTTAAGCTTTTTTTTATCTTTTCTTTATCCTAAGAGCAATATAAAATATTAAAGGGTTTTAAATAGGTTAGAAAGTGACCTGAGCAGATTTTCATTTTGAAAGTTCACATAAGCTGAAATATCAAGAACAGATTAGTGAAGGTATTAGCAGATATGAGGAGACCAGTTAGAAGTCAATTAGAATCAGCTGAGTCCAGAGTCAGCAGTAGCAGCGTGGAGGCCTTACATGGCAGTGGGGTAGATGGAGAAAAGTTGACAAATTTGATATATTTAGGATATAAAATTAACTGGACTTGGTAATAGAGATGAGGACAATGTCACAGATAATTTCTAGTATATTTGCAAACCTAAATTGAAGCTGTTGCTATTCACTGGGATTGAAAAACAAAACAAACAAACAAGCGAAACCTTAGAAGAGGACTTGAATTAAATGGGACATAAGATTATTAGCTCTTTGGATATATTAAGCTTGAAGTTTCTTTGTGATTTTAGTGACAATGTCAAATAGGCAATCTTGACTCTGTAGTCCAAGGACGAAATCTGGACAGTATGAATGGTATTGTTGACCTTAGTAAGAGTGTTTTGGCAGAAGGAAGGAGACTGAAGCAAGATTAGAAGGGTTAAGTGGCACAGGGGAGGGAGGGAAGGAAGGAATATAGACAACTCTTCCAGCTCAATTTAATTTATCTTTGAAATCCAGCACTTGATTTTCTCTGCTCCTTAGTCCATATGGTGGCGAAGGAATAGTCTCCCACAGCTGCTGAATTTATATATTATAGATCCGGCCATTCAGAGAGATTGATTGGCAGTTTCTCAGTCCTACTTTCAGATACCCAAAAAGGTAGAATATCATTTCTAAACAGCTTGTTTCTAAGCAGCTCTAACAAAGAAATCAGGGTCACATGAAAACATAGCTGTTGGGGAGTACCTTAATGACTCACTATTCATAATGAGCTGGGCAAGCAACATAAAAATTATCTACTCTGTCTACCCAAAGATTACAAATTGAACTCTAGTGTAATGCAAATACAGTGTAAATTAAATAGACCAGAATATTTTTAAGCAAAACTGAGGTTAAACATTAAGGGTGGAATTAACTAGGTTGGTCATTGAAAGAACACCTGGGACTTAGATAGGAAAAGAGACACACACACAGACAGTGACAGGTACAGAGACAGATATACAGAAACAGACACATGTACGTCTTTCACATGTCTTTCACAGTGTTCCAAATCACAATGCCCTTTCCCCCCTTACCTATCTGGAATGTTATTTTTCTTAAACTTTCTTTCTTGAGCCACTTAAGATATTCTTCATTTTAATGTCAATATTTATGTTCTTGTATTGTCGTTTGTAATGATTTTTAAGCTACTTGAATTTAGATGTTCTCTATTTATTGCTATGCTCACTAAAATGTTTTAAATTATTCTGTCTTTAACAATGTGGACACCACATATTTGACTATCCTAAGTGAGAGTAGATATCCCATCACACATATCTGCTTAACAACTTATATTCAGATAAATACATTGCCCATTTTAATAGATAAGCTATATTCGTATTAAAACGTAAAATGTTTGGGGCATTTAAAATATAAAAATATTTTAAATATGAAATATGTAGTGTTCTAAAGGCAAACAACCACCTATAGTATTTATTATTTTATGAAACTTTTATTTGTCTTCCATACGTGATTTGATTATAAAATTTGTGGGTTTTTTTAAGTGATATGCCAAAGGGCTTTATGAAATTCACTAGAAATTTTAGATATGCTTTCAGAAAGTCTCAGTCCAACCAAAAAGCTTGAAATTTGTATACTGTAAAATAAAAATTGTCCTTATTTTATTAGGAGAGCTGACCAATTAATCCAGGAAGATAAAGATGATGTCATTCCGTACTGCATAGCCGTTGGTGATGTGAAAAAACTGGTCCATTTTTTTATGTCAAGAGGTCAGCTTAAGGAAGCTCTGCTTGTTGCACAGGTACAACCATGTAACTGTACAAGCCACATATATTGGTGGGTGGGCAGGTAGAAAGGAGAAGATTGTGTTGACCAGCTTGCCTTTACATGATTGACAAAGTCATAGATGGCTTGGCTTTTGCCCCCTTCCCTAGCCTTCTTTTTTTTCTTTTTTTATTGGTTATGAATATTCATGAGATACAAAGCTGACTGTCACTCCTCATGCCCAAGATGTGAAGGCCAAATCTGTACTGGCAACATGCCCATTACCACAAATTGCGATTGTACCCCGTGTCTCCCACCCAATTATCCCCAACCTCCCTCCCCCTCCCGCTATCTCTCCATGCCACTTTGTATCCCTAGGTATGTTCTTTCCCTCTGCAAGTCCAATAAACCACTGTGGTCTTTCCTTCCTTCTTTCTCTCTTAGCTCCCACTTATGAGTGAGTACATGTGGTATTTATACCTCTGTGCTTTGCTAATTTCACTCAACATAAGTTTCTCCAGGCTCATCCATGTTGTTGCAAATGGGAGAATTTCATTCATTTTTACAGCAGAGTAGTATTCCGTGGTGTATATATACCAGTTTCCTTATGCAGTCATCCATCAGCGGACATTCAGGTTGGTTCTATGTCTTGGCTATTGTAAACAGAGCTGCGATGAACATGGGAGTGCAGGTATCCCTTCAACATGATGATTTCCATTCCTCTGGGTACATACCCAGAAATGGGATTGCTGGATTGTCTCTAGTTGTTTGAGAAGCCTCCATACTGTTTTCCATAGTGGCTGTACTAATTTACAGTCCCACCAACAGTGTAGGAGTGTTCCCTTCTCTCCACACTCTTGCCAGCATTTGTTATATTCACTGTCTTTTTGATTATAGCCAGTCTAACTGGAGTGAGGTGGTATCTCAGTATAGTTTTAATTTGTATTTCCCTGATGATTAGTGATGTTGAGCATTTATTCATGTACCTGTTGGCCATTTGTATGCCTTCCTTTGAAAAATGTCTGTTCAGCTCCTTTGCCCCTTTTTTAATTGGGTTGTTTTTTTTTTTTTTTTACTGTGTGATTGCTTGAGTTCCTTGTATATTATGGATATCAATCCCTTGTAGGATGCATAATTAGCAGAAATTTTCTCCCACTCTGTAGGTTGTCGTTTCACTCTGTTGATTGTTTCCTTTGCTGTGCAGAAACTTTTTAGTTTGATATATCCCCATTTGTTTATTTTTTCTTTTGCTGCTTGTGCTTTCAGGCTCATGTTCATAAAGTCTGTGCCCAGACCTAGTTTCTGAAGTGTTTCACCTATATTTTCCCTTAGTAATTTTACAATTTCAGGTCTTACACTTAAGTCTTTTATCCATTTTGAGTTAATTTTAGTATATGGTGAGAGGTGCATATCTAGTTTCATTCTTATGCATATGGATATCCAATTTTCCCCGCACCACTTGTTGAAGAGGCAGTCTTTGCCCCAATGTAGAGCCTTTGTCCAGTATCAGATGGCTGTAAGCATGAGGGGTGATTCTTAATATTTCAGTCATACTATTTTTGTTCTGGTCACAATTAACTTAATTTAGATAGTTGAACATAAAAGCATCTCTGAACTCTGAATTTTTCACGTGCTGCTGAACGATTCTTAATATTTCATACTATTTTTGTTCTGGTCACAATTAATTTAGATAGTTGAACATAAAAGCATCTCTGAACTCTGAATTTTTCACGTGCTGCTGAATGTTATATACCGTGCATTTGAACAATGTTTTTAGTAATGATTTACTTGAAATTTCATTTTGGTACTTTCAATGGAGTTAACACTTTATTTCTTTTCAAATTCTAAGGTTACTTCCAAATTGTAGTGTAAATTGCAAACATGATTTAGGTGTAATTTCCTCAAAATAATATTCTGAAATTGGTCAGTTTTCAATAATTACCTAAAGCTTATAAACAATTAATTAAAGATTTAATTAAATTCTAGGCTGCATGTGAAGGAAATATGCAAACCTTACATGTTTCTACCCCTAAAGGAGCTTTAGATTCTGATGAAATCTACAAGGAAGACTTTAATGAGTGAGTGATTTATTTTTTGTTTGGGGTCAATATTTTTATGGTTGGTTTTCCTTTATGAGTTTTTGAGAGCCATGTAGTTCATCCTTCCTTGATTGCCTCATGTCTTCACATTTCTTACCACGATATAGTTCCACTAGAGCATCCATCCCTAGATGAATAGGAAAATGTCAGGCATGTAGACATAGCCTACACACATTTTGTGTAGCTTCCAGAAAAGCAAAATGCATTTCAGTACAGAGATCACAAATAAAGCAGCTAAATACTTGAAAAGTGATCAAACCTGTTGTGGAAAATGGGCAGGGAAAATAAGGTTGGCTGCTTATTAATGTTTCACTATAAAATCAGTATATACATATATATATATATATATATAAAATATCACAGTAATGTAATTCATAATCCCATAACCCTAGTATTAGTGTGTAGAATAACATTTAGTCTTTTTTTTTAAAGAAGTCCAAATAGTTATTTTAAAAAAGAAATAGGAATTAGAATTTTTCAGCCTTTCAAATTTTTAAAAAATCTAATAATCTAGAAAAGGGTCATGAAATACTAAGCAAAAAATGTGTTCGGACAAATGTATTTTTTCCTGGATCTTTGCTGCTATTCTCTGTCATTGCTAAACTTGGCATTTTAAAGATCTAATATGCACTAGCCATATTTTGTATACCACCTAAATTTTGAAAAATTTCTTTTCAACCAGTAATTCTTCTAAGGTTAATTGTCCCTACAGCTTCATCATTAATTATCCAGTGCAGGATGGTAAGTTTTGAAAATCAGGCTTTTCTTCTGACAATTGTGGAGACTGTGGGGAAGGGTGGACTTATCAGATCACATACTTGGAAAGACTGCTTTTCCAATTTTTTTTTCTAAAAATAAAGCTCCATACTTAAGTGAATGATGCCAAATTAAATCCTGCTTTGTCCTTTAATCACCCTTACAAAAGGTCATTAGTTCACTTTTATTATGGAATTCTTGTTTTAATTTACAATATATGCTTTTTTTCTTTCTAGGCTCCTGCACAAAGTCAGTAAAGAACTGGCAGAATGGTATTTTCAGGATGGTCGAGCAGTACTAGCTGCATGCTGCCTTCTAGCTATAGATAATATTGAGGTACAGCATTTCAAATTGATTTATGAGAATGAAAAGCTCTTTAGATGTGTCGTGTGTATGAGAGGAAAAATATGGTCACTTACTTCCTGTGGAGGATCTAGTTTTGGATGTTTCCAAGCCTGAATGATTGAGTAATTACATGCCTAATAACGCGCACACAAACTGTACAGACCATGAGCTCATTTGTCTTATTTTTAATCACAAGATACATACATATAACAACCTTTCTTTAAACATTTCATCATATAAGAAGAGAGAGTTTGGTAAAGGGAAAAAAATCACTGGACTTGGACTCAAAATATCTGAGTTTCAGTTCTGTTTCTGTCACATACTGACTTTGGACATGTCAGTTAACTTCTTAGAGAATTAAAAGTCCTCAACTCTAAAATGAAACTACGAATACCTACCTTACCTATTTCATGTATAGTTGTTAGGATTACAAGAACTAATAGAAATGAAAGCACTTATTTTTAAGTATACTATAATATATTCTTCACAAGTTATATTTTAAGGGACTTTCCACTTGACCCATTAATGTAATAAGGAAAGTATTAAATAAATGTATAAATTCTATTTGTATTTATCCTTAGATATACTGACTTTAGGGAATAATTGACAATTGTTGTATAATCTTGAATAAGCTTTTAAGAATTTATATTCTTTCTGATAAGGAGACTGAAGGATATGTTGAAGATGTCATACTGCAGAGTATTGTTAATTACAAAAATAAGAGCAAGAGTTCTAAACTTAAATTCTGACCTGATAAAATTTCCTGTATGTCGCATTATCAGCTTTTCCATTTGAAAATTGCAATTACTATTACATAGGTACTTTATAGGAATATTACAGTCAATATTTTATAAGAATAATTGGTTTATAGGTTAATACTACTTTATCTACTTTATGAGCTTGGAAGGGACTGATGATCCTACCCAGCATCTATGCAACTGAGGAAATTATTTTCTTATTGAGCAAGCTTGCTATGGCATACCTGATTCGGGGAAATGAACTGGAATTGGCAGTCTGTGTGGGCACAGTACTAGGAGAGTCTGCAGCACCAGCAACCCACTATGCCCTAGATTTACTGGCAAGAAAATGCATGATGATTCCAGTATGGTAAGAGTTTCTAAATTTAAAGAATAATTTAATAGTGATGGAATTCACTCTTTTAAGTACTGTAAATTACATCTGATAAGTTGTATGTTGGGAGAATGTAGGATCACTTTTTTTCATAAGGGATAAGATTATGGGAGGAAATGGTGATATGGGAATGAAGTAATATTGAAAACTACATGGTTATATAATGAAATATAACATGACCCATTCTGAAGTATTCTAGTTGTCATTCCATAATGTTTCAAGCACCTAAAGTATCATGAGACAACAAATGTGCACTTCTTAAAATGATCAGTACCACATATTCCCATGTCTTAAAATTCTACATATCTCACTTACTCTTGTCAGATCTTTTGTCCTAGTTTAAGGTTTGGAAAATAAAGACACTTTTCTAATGGAAGGGAATAACAAAAATGGTTTTGCTGGAGACTTGGAATAGGCCATCTTCCCAGACTCTGGCAATACCTTAATACCCAAAGAAATAGATCTTGGGAATTCTCAGGGGTAACCTGGAAACCCAGGTCAAAGCAATTCCAGCTCACATCTGTGAAGTCCTGTTCTTAGGTCAGACAATTTGTCATTATGGGGTCACCTTTAGGAAAGATATCATTCCGTCATTTGTTAAATAAAGGTGTTTGCTGAATAAAGATGATTTTAGAATTTTATCTTCTCTTTCCCCAAAATATTTAGGACATCAAAAAATTTCTGAGTTAATTTATTCATCAGGATGTTGACCTCTCCCCATTCCACACCCCATGCACACACACCACCCTTAAGATGGCGCTATACAGAATACCTCACACTACTGAACGCTGTAGGTGGTAATGATAATAATGGTAATAATAACAGCGACAGCTAACTAATACTTACGTACTGCTTACTCTGTACCACACACTGTTTTAAGCACTTTACATGTAACAACTTACTAGATCCTTTGAGGAAGGTATTGATTTGCCTGAGGTCTCAATAAGTGTTGCAGAGCCAAGATTCAAAGCTATAAAAACTGGCTCCAAAGTTTGCAACCAGCTACCACTCTGAACCACCTCCTTATCTAAGGCTAACTCAGAAGAAGGAGTAACACTTTCCATTTTCCTTTTTTGGCTGGCTATGGTGGTTTCATATCATAAATCTCAGTGCTGTTCTAATTTTTACACATATCTTACAATGATGTAAGAGCTTCCCCTTCCCAAAATGTAATGGTACCCCACCATAAGTCTTAGTCTTAAATGTATTTAATGCTGACCATCCTCTGAGAGTACCCAGTCATCCCTCTGTCAAGAACTATAATAGTCAATTGGATAATTACTTGCCTTAGACCCATCCCAAAGCATGAAGTCTAACTCAAATTATTTATTCAAAAAGGTGGCTGACTCCATGCTAAAAGTCATCATCTATCTAAATGAAATGGGATTCATTTTAAAGAAAGTGAAAGTAGAAAGTAGCAAAAACAGAAATATACATTAAATTTAAAAGATGTTTAAAAATCTTTTAACTGTATGTCTTAGTTACTTTTAATAAAAAATAAACATCTATTTTTTGGTAACCTCCTCCCCCACCCCAAGAGTTCTTCCTTTGTATATCCATATATATGTGTACCAGAAACCAGGATAAAGTTCAAAGTCTGAAATACATGGTACTGATGATCAGGTTTATTTGCAGGAGAAATCTGTAATTCTCATGGCTGTTAGTAGAGCTGCACAGGTTTTCTTTAAAAACAGCTACATATTTAAAGAGAATGTTCATAATTTTATAAACCAAAGCACTTCATGTTTTTTACATTTACTAGTAATAGTTTACTTCTTCTTGGTAATCATCTTATATATGATATTCATATTCAATATTTTCTTTTTAGCTTTCCATCTGTTGGATACAGGTATTATCTAGTTTTATTTTCAGAAAAATGTTTATTAAAAACTTCACATACCATTTCATTTTATTATTTGAATACCATCTCTATATTAAGAAATATTCTGTTTTCACTTTGTTTTATGGTCTGACAATTCATATACATGAGTGTAATTTATAAAACATAAAACTTAACTATGAAGTAATGAAAAAAGTTCCTATAAGGTAGGTACAAAACCACTCATGATTTTATACTTAAAACTTTATAATAAGCAAACTGTGGCTTTCTATAATATCAAATAATAGCTAACTCAGCTCAGCAAAATAAAATGTCTGTTCTGATAATAAAATTTAAGAGTTGAAATTATTTGGTTTATGTCATTTTACATACATAGACACATGCACACACATATATATACACACTCACACACACATACATTTTTCCCCATTAGTACTGAATTTTCAAAAAAAAAAAGTGAATTGGATTAAAGACTGAATAAAATTAGCTGGCCTTGCTGTAAAGTTCGCTATAACAGAATATAATTCTACAGTAAGTCAGATTCTGTCTATAGTTCATACAAATTTGAATAGAATTTTAGCACAGCTATTTTATACACAGTAAAAGCAAATAATTTTTGTATTCTCATGGACACTAGTTAAAACTGTTATTAAATTTTGATATCAGTTTTTTTTTTTTTTGTCTTTTTTCCGTGTCCGGCAACGGATCGCAACCCTCAGTGTTGCCCCCGTACCGGACCGGGAACCGGCAACGGGATAGCCGGGCCGGCCTAAATTTTGATATCAGAAAGCACATAAAATCATTCATATTTTTTAGCAAGAATAGGTAAGCTACTTTAATTTGGAACTCAGATTTAAACCACTCAAAGATTTACCTACCCATGAATAATAGAAAATATGGAGGTTTGGGAAGACTTTATATTTAATTATTAAATGGCTAGGGAGAAGTAATGTGAAAAATCATTGTAATCTTTTAGCTATTCTCTATTGACATCACCTAGAAAATTACTTATTAGTAAAATGTTGAATTATTAAAATATTTTATATAAAATTTTATACCTCACTAAAGTTTGTTTTATTTTAAAAGCCTTGATGTAAACCTAATTTAGAGTGCTACTGTCATAATAGTTTAATGATGTTTGTGTGTGTTTATGTGTGTATATTTTTAAGTAAAATTTTGGATTTGACACCAGAGTTTGCAAATTATCTCTGTTTCTATTTTATACACACTATATTCTTGATTATGCACCTCTTAATGTTTTAAAAAATAGATTGATTCGGATAAATGAACAATGTACATTTTACTGAAGCTTTCACATAAAAGATGAAGGAAGATTTTACTCTCAGAGTGCCTTCTCAAATGAGAAGAAATTCTCATGTGAAATATCACCTGTTCTAAAGTCATACTGAATGTCTATATATCAATTTCTTAAAAACAGAATAATATCTTAGCTCATTGAAAATTAGGTGTTTTCTCAGTTATGATACATGCATCCAAAAATTCCTCATTACTGATGTGAAAAAATGATTTTACAGAAAATGTTTTTAATGTAAAGAAGCTAATTTCTTAATATTTTATATCTTTAAAAACCTGGAATTATTTATTCCATTCATTGGATCTTTAAAAAGTAAATAAGAAAAGTACATTACTGTCTTTGATTTCCACCGAAAGTTTAAGAAATACGCAGAATATCACAACAATTCTAAACTTAAAATAGCTAAGTATCCTACTGATTTCAATGAGCTGGCTCACACAATTTTCCATTTTTGACAAGCATAACAAGAGTTGATGAAAGTTAGCTTTCACAAAGTTTGCTTTATAATTTGGTCCAAAGAACATATCCAAAACTACTTAGTTTGGTTAGAGAATTATTCTGTAATAATAAAATTGATTATAAATATCAAAGACTCATGTATGGAGAGTTAAGACTTTTAAAAATACTTAGGCATTTCATAATACCTATACATTTGTCCTTCATCCCTTTGGTTTCTGGAATCTACATTTATAATTAAATAGGAAATTAGTACTGTTTGTATGAATAGAAAAGCAAGGGAGGTGTATTATATGAGTCTCCATTTAAAATAGTTATAAATGTTACTTTTAGATACTTTCTTCAATGAAATTTCCCCTTTTGTTATGTGAACAGGAACTTGGCAGCTGATCTTCTCCTGATGATTCCTGATAACGAACTACATTTAGTAAAACTCTGTGCTTTCTACCCAGGGTGTATGGAAGAGATTAATGATCTTCATGAGAAGGTATACTGATGATATTATTAAGTGTTCCAGTTTGAAATGCAGTACTGTGATTTAATTAATATTACGTTCAAACACATAGAAGTACATACAGAGAAATATATAGTCCCTTGGGATACTTATAAATACAACAAAAATTGTGTCAATAATAGGTAACATTTATTGAGTTTCTACTGTGTGCTTGGCACTGTTCTAAATTTTTACATGTATTAGTATTAATTCTTATGAAACCCTGAAGAACAGGGATATTGTTTTGTTTTACAAAGAAAGTAAACTCAGAGAAGGTAAGGAACGTTTCCAAATTCAGTAAGAGTGGAGTGAGAATTTCAGCTTCAACAAACTAACAACAAATACCAAGCCCTTTCCACTGTCCCACTTTACATGTTGAGGTATGTGTATGATAACTTTTTAAATAGACAATTTAGGACATTTAAAAGAATGAAATGTAATGAAATTCACATGCATTATTTTAAGGAGCTTTAAAAAAATACTCCTTTGCAAAAACACAGGAATCTATGTACCAATATTATATATAAAAACAAACAAATGTTCAACAATAGGAAGATTACATAAATTACAGTACATTTCTATATTTCAGTGCTATTAATTCATTAAAGAAATCATGAGGCTCTATTTTTATTGACATGATAGATGGATAAAACATTAAATAAAATGCAGATCACAAAACATGCACATGATTGGATTTTGAAAATAACTGTGGGGGCTGGCCCGGTGGCGCACTGGATAGTGAGCCGCTTGGGAAGCACGGCGGCGCTCCCGCCCGAGGGTTCGGATCCCACATACAGACCGGCCCGGTGGCGCACTGGATAGTGAGCCGCTTGGGAAGCACGGCGGCACTCCCGCCCGAGGGTTCGGATCCCGCATACAGACCGGTTCCCGCTCACTGGCTGAGCGAGGCGCAGGAGCAACACCGAGGGTTGCGATCCCGTTGCCAGTCCCGGTCCGGTACGGGGGCGACACTGAGGGTTGAAGATAAAAATAAAACATTTTCTCATCTTTAACTTTCAAAATAACAAAGTTTTATTTCACCTATTTGAACCTTGATTTCTCCCCAGTGGGTGAGTGGCCCTGTTCATTCAAAAACAGATATTTATTGAATATGGCATCAATACAGATAGACCAAAAGTGTGTGTGAGTGAGCACGCATGTGTGTGTATGTGTGTGCGTATGTGTGTGATACTAAGGAAATATTTCTGAAAGGATAAATGTCCAAAGTTACCAGTGGGTTGTGAGATTTTGGGAGAATTAAACTTTATACACTTAATGTTCTGTGAATTATTTTTTAAATAAGCTGTGCTTTGCTTTTATAAACAGAACTACAAGTTATTTTTATGTTAAATAAAATGCATATGGAAGGAAGCAAGGAGTTCTTTTTATACTTTACATTTACTGTGTAGCGTTTGTTCGCTAACAGGTATCCTTTGAGGCAAAAAGGTGCAGATGTTAATATCAAGTCTTGAAAAGGCAATAACTACAAGTTATTTTTATGTTAAATAAAATGCATATGGAAGGAAGCAAGGAGTTCTTTTTATACTTTACATTTACTGTGTAGCGTTTGTTTGCTAACAGGTATCCTTTGAGGCAAAAAGGTGCAGATGTTAATATCAAGTCTTGAAAAGGCAACATGACTTGTCTAAGTTTACACAGCTTTTAATGATATGGGCAAGAATGGTATTCACCTAGTCTTTTCATCACACATTCAAAAAGGATATAATTAGACTCTGTAATCAGACTTCGTTATTAACTCTTCAGAAAGACTAGTGAATATGTGTAAAGGTGTTAATAACTCTAAACAATTTCACAGGTATGGGTGCTCCTTAACTTACAGTGGGGTTACATCCCTCCTGATAAATTCATCATAAGTTGGAAATATCATAAGTTGAAAATGCATTTAATACACCTAACCTACCAAACATCACCTGGCCTACCTTAAATGTGCTCAGAACTTTTGTGTTAGCCAGCAGTTGGACAAAATCATCTAATACAAAGCCTATTTTATGATAAAATGTTGAATATCTCATGTGATTTATTGAATACTGTACTGAAACTGAAAAACAGTGGTTTTATGGGTACTAAAAGTATGGTTTCTACTGAATATGTATCACTTTTGTACCATCATAAAGTCAAAAAATTGTAAATTGAACTATTGTAAATCAGAGATGTCTGTAATACTAAAAACTGTGTATTCAAATATGATGTTAAGTAATAACTTTTGGAATTTTAAGATAGGACAGGAATTACACAGGTGATCATCTTACTCTTCTTAATATAGTCTGTTTGAAAATGAAATTTCAGTGGTAGCCATTTTCTTATTCCCTCTAGACTTTGGTCATATATCTAGGTGAAGAAGTTTTTTTGGTTTTTGTTTTTTGGGTTTTTTTTCTATTTAACCAGGCCAATACCTAACACATTTGGCATTCTGTGAATAAAGATGGGTAAACAATATGAAATGTCATATACATGAGAACCCCCTTAATTCAGTTTGTTGTAATTCTTTTGAGGGAAATATTGAGAGATCTAAAATGTTCATTATACCTAACTTTTAAACAAGATATATTAAACTATTGAGTAAATGCATTAAATAAATAAATAAATTGAAAGAAAGCATTGAACCATCAGTGTTCCTTAGAAACAAACTTTAACATTTAAGCTTCAAAAATCATAAACACATGGAAATTTAACATAAAAGAGAACTTGATCCTTACCATTATTGTGGAAGCAGAATAACTTACTTGAGAGAGGATCAAACTCTCAGTTTTAACAGAAAAAAAATTATTTAAAAAATGAGAGTATGGCTTTTCATTTTATAGTAATGAAATATCATGGACTAAAAATCTTCACTTTGTAACATTTCAGAATGTCAGAGCTTAAAACTTTAAGAGCTTATACATTTTTCACAACTCTGAAATAAGGTTGCTTTGTCTCAAAGGCCAAGTGAAATAAAATTACAGTGTAGAGGACGTGTAATAATGCACCTTTTTCATTTGCTACATTTAATGTAGTATTCACAGTATAGTTTTTGACAGTATGGTCAGTGTATTCATCCTAAAAGAACTAATCTTAGCATTTTTTGCTAACTTGTGTTTGTGGGTACTACTTACGATATTACAGTCAGGACAATTTACTTCCACCTCATTTATTAGGTTTTTGTTTGATGAAAAACTACTGACTCATTAGCTAATGACCCCACATTGTTTTTTCCATAAATGTATATGCTCTTAAGGCAAGTAATTTTGTTTACATCTATTTTGGACAACTGTAATAAGAAAATATACTAGGTATACTCAAAATATTTAGTACTTTTACTATTGCTTTTATCCCTGTAAATTTTAGTAACATTATCATCAAATAAATTATTTTCTAGTGCAAGTTACCTACTGTAGAAGAATGTATGCAGTTAGCTGAGACTGCCCAAGCAGATGGCAATATATTTAAAACTATAAAGTATTATTTGTTAAGTCAAGAACCTGAAAAAGCCCTTCCTATTGGTATTGACTTCATCAAAGGTAAGTTTCTAGTTGGTAGTATAATTTAAAATCTACTCACTTATTTAAGCTTTTCATTTATATTAATAATCAGCCTTAAAATCAAGAACTAGCCATCCTTAATTTTAAAAGGAAAGAAATTACTGATGTGAAATACGGCATCACTTCTGATTTTATGGTATGAAGACCTGAGAGAGTGTGAATAGGAAAATACTTGTAATCTAGAAATTAAAGAAATAGATAAGACTGACTGACAGAGAATTAATTGTATAAATTAAAAATTGGATGCACAAGTTTTGATACTATTATTTAGAGAATCTTTTATTTGGTTTTATTTTGCCAGAATACATCAGTAGTTCAAATTGGACTTTGGATACCATTTTCCCCGTTCTTGACCTATTGAGTTATATTCGCACTGAAAAATTAGTCTTGCATACATGTACTACGTAAGTACTTTTTCTCCAAAATACGTTAGTGAATCTATGAGATGTTTTGATTGGTTTTGGTGTTTAGATCAATAAGTAGGATCGTCTTGGACAGGTAGCTGCACTTGTAGAAAAATTACATTTTTATTTGTTATATTCGTATTAAAAAATACAGAGGTCAACTTGAAAAAGAAATATTAAATGTTAGTGGCTCCATTTAGTAATATCTAGTGCATATGTGTTTATATATGTGCATATACACAAATGGTTCAAAGAGGACTAATTCAAACCTTTCAGATGGTTTTCAACCTTAAGTCCTCAAGAAACTAGTGGTCATATTTATTAAATATCCATTGTGTGCAAAGCCTTATACTAGACTTGGGAGAAAGAAGTGCTGGGAAGTAGAAAATAGACACCGTTCCTGAATTCAAGTACCATTTAAGGACATTGTCATCCATATGATTTAAGCCTTCAAAGACTCATGTATAATTTGCAAGATAGTCTTTGGGCTCTTTTTGTTTTAATGCCCCTGTGGAAAAGGTGATGCAGGAGCCTGGGAAACTGGCAAATTCCCTCAGCAGGAAGTGCAGTAGATATTCTTTGACCTTTCCTTGAGTCTGCACAATATGCTAAGAATTCCTAAATCTGACCAAAGGAGTTACTTAGAGATAAATCACATGAAGAAACAGCCAGAAAGAAGCAGGCAATAGTTATATACTATTAAGAGACTTTTATTTTAAATTATAATTTATGATATAGCATAAATGTCTGAATATGAATTATTAACTAATGAATAAATCATCTTCCTCAAATTTAGAAAAATTTCTAAACATATTTTGCTCTGTCACCCATCAGAATATAGGATACATGTACATGAACTATATATGAGAGTAATGTTCTATATCTCAAATTGTGGAATTAAAAATTATGTGTATATATATTCTTTTTTTAGAGCTCGAAATGAGTTGCTGATATTATATGGTTATGTTGGTGCATTATTGGCTATCAGAAGACAGTACCAAAACATTGTTCCAGCACTTTATGAGTACACAAGGTACAAAAAGAAAAAAATTCCTTTCTATCATTAAATTCCTTTTACTAATATCAGTAGTCTCTAAGTAGATCATAAAAGACACCAAATGTATTATTACATGCTTTTATTTATTTATTCAGCATGTGCTTTACAATAAAGCAGCAATTAACTATATGAAGTAAGAATGCATTAGGCTGTAAATATAATAGAAATCCTAATGCTAACGCACCAAATGTATTATTACATGCTTTTATTTATTTATTCAGCATGTGCTTTACAATAAAGCAGTAATTAACTATATGAAGTAAGAATGCATTAGGCTGTAAATATAATAGAAATCCTAATGCTAACTTAAACACATAGCATTTATTGGTCTTGCATGTAAAAACATTTGAGATAGGCATTCCCAGCCTATTGCAGCTGTTCATTGATTCCATCAAGGACCTAGATTCTTCTCTTCTTTTGACTATAACATTCTTGGTTTCTTTCCTGTTGCTTGAGTTTTCCATGGTTACAAGACAGCTGCTAGCCCTCCATATATTATTTCTACTTTCTAAGCAGGAAAGAGGTAAGGGTAAAGAAAGATAGACACCACAAAGAGATTTCTCCTGGCAAGACCATTTTGTTCAGCGAGGAAGGTTCTCCTTAGGGTTTTATGCCTGCATCTCATTGGCCAGAATCGTGTAACCCCACTTTTAAAAGAAGATGGGGGCGGAAAAGATGGGAAACTGGGTATTTTAGCTTTCCATTCTGTAAAGTAGAGAAATGCAAAGTAAAGAGAGTTTGTGAGTAGCAGGTAACCTACTGTTTTATATTCATATATAATCTACCAATCAAATTCCTACGTTTTCTAATAGCTTGCTAACTTTAGCCATTATACTTAAAACTTGTTATACTCAAAAATAAAATTCACAATGCCTCCCATAAAAACCCTTTTTCAAATCTACCAGTTTGTGAAATGGCAAAGTAGATGACCTTTTTAACTCTTAACAATGCTTCAGAGCCTGTGGGTAAGTAATGTTTCTGAGTAACCTTCATATGGGGCAGAAGATTTTGAGAGAAACAGAGCCTTTCTCATCCCTAACTACTTCTCCCTCTTGTGTAAGTGAAGCAGTAAACTGCCACTTTGTGCAAAGTAAGGAATAATACAGAATTAATATGATCGGGGTACTCAAGGAAAAATCTGCTTCTATGCATGCAGCATAACCAAAATTCAAAAGCAACTTTAACAGTATTAAAATATAGGACCAATAGGACATATCACATAGAATTAAAATAATGTTGAATGAAGCAAGTTCAGTTATATATAACTTCAGTAATTATGAAAGTGAAGAGAGAAAATGGTCACTTAAATTAATATCAAGAATAAAAAGAAGAGTTTTTATTTGTAAACCTGGAGAGACTTCAGAGAATACATCTAAGTTAAGGAAAACATGGTAGTTTAGAAAGAGAAATTTAAGAACTGCCTAATTTTTAAGAAAGTCTGACAATTCCATCTTTGTTGTTGTATCTTGATGCCTGCATTTATTTCCCTAACCCACTAAATATCTTATTCCCCGGAGTTTTGTTCTCTTTCTCTCCTCTTCCCCTTTTTTTTTTTTTTTTTTTTTTCCCCACCCACCTCCCATGTCTCCACTCCTCTTCTCTACCGTCTTTTCTGTACTCTGTTCTTCAGAAACTTCAGCATTTCTTAGCTTCACTTGTCACCTCTATGGAGATAACTCATTATTATATATTCAGGCATAGCCTACTCTCCAAGCTTCTATTTGTATATCCAGCAGCTTGCTAAACTTCAGCCTTAAACTTCAGTTCTCTTTCTTTTGATGGTGTCGTTATATTTCTGTCATCCAGGATTAAATAATCAGGGTCATGGTTAAGTGTTGCTCCTCACTGTGGCTATTATGCAACATTGCTTCACTGATCTAACCATTCTCCATACATTATGCAGCTAATTTATTCATTCATTCACTCACTCAATCACTCACCCAACTGTTGATTGAATATCTTTCACTTGCCAGGGATTTAAATGCTAACTATACAACTTAGCATATATGCAGATACAGTATTCCCCCCATGTCCACAGTTTTGCTTTCTGTGATTTCAGTGACCCACGGTCAACAGTGGTTCTAAAAAATTAAATGGAACATTCCAGAAGTAAACAATAAGTTTTATACTGTACATTATTCTAAGTAGCATGATGAAATCTTGTAGTGTCCTGTTACGTCCTGCCTGGGATGTGACTCATCCCTTTGTTCAGCATATTCACGCTGTATATGCTAGCTGCCTGTTAGTCACTTACTAGCAGTCTCAGTTATCAGTTCAACAAATCCACAGGAAGAAAGGTGAGTGCAGTACAATAAGATACCTTGAGAGGGAGAAAGAGACCACATTCACATATATTTTATTACAGTATATTGTTATAATTTTTCTATTTTACTATTAGTTATTGTTGTTAATTTCTTACTGTGCCTAATCTATAAATTCAACTTTATCGTAGGTATGTATGTATAGGAAAAAAACATAGTATATATAGGGTTAGGTACTATCCATGGTTTTAGGTATCCACTGGGGGTCTTGGAATGTATCCCCTGTAGCTAAAGCGGAATTACTGTGTGTGTGCATATAATGTATAATATATAATTTTATTATATGTATAATATATGTACACACATATTTTTGAACAATTGTTAAGTTTAAAATTTCAGTTAAACTTCATTTTCTTTTTCTAATATCTAAGTTTTTGATGTCAGATGTTAATTTCTTTTTCATATGTTTTAGTCAGCTATTAAAACGTCGGGAGGTGTCAGTCCCTTTAAAAATTGAACATCTTTCTGAGGAACTGGATGCATGGAGAGCTTGCACACAGTTCACCAACCAGTGAGTGAATATAAAAATTGGAATGCAGAAGGTATTTAATGTTATAAACAAACTTGTTGTAAATGTGCATGGTCATGGTCTCATTATTAATTTTAGCAGAATAATGAATCTTGATTTATTTAGCATATATCAATAATAATTTATAATGCTCTCTTTTCTTGCCTTTTTAAAGTTCTTTATTCTACTGTAAATAGTCTGAAGTAGATTTCCCTCCACTATAAAGGGGAATTGAATAATCATGAGGGACTATTACTGATTTAAACCTATGATTCTATAAAAATGAAAATATCTGTTGAAAATATAGATCATCAGAAGAATCTCCGTATACACCCCCTTCTGATTCACAAAGAATGGTTTATGCAACTTTATTAAAGAGACTAAAAGAAGAACCACTCAAAGGAATTATTGGGTCAGATTATGTGACTGGATCAAACCTTCCAAGTCATTCCGACATTCATATCTCTTGTCTTACAGGACTAAAAATCAAGGTACAGCCTAATGTCAAGCATAAATTGTGCATTTCCATCATTTTTATATTTTTATTTTTTGAAATGTTATCTTAAAGTAAGCATAAGCTGAATAAAAGTAGGTAACTCTAAAGTGGCCTGGGGCCCAGTAAATAAATATTGCCCTTAGTGCTTTCATAGTTAGTATAAATGGTCTGTTTGTCTTTAAAATACATTTGGAAAGGCAGTCATTGTACTGACTGTTATTACAGAAGCAATTAATGTAGTATGTATACTTAGGACTAAATGATATGTATACTTATTCATGTAGTATGTATACTTAGGACTAAATGATGTGTATACTTATTAACAAATATATTTTAAAGTACATATAGATCATATCCTAAGGGAAATTAAGTAAGGGAGACAAAGCAACAATCAACAAATTAACAATGGTTGTATCACAATATATTAACTTTCTAGTCTCCATTTGTGTTATATAAACACAAACAAAGCAATTAAAATTAGATAAATGTTTGAGGGTACTTCAAAAAGTTCATGGAAGAATACAATTAAAAGATAATATGAATCTTTCCATGAACTTTTTGATGTACCCTCATATAATACATTATCGATATATATGCATGTTCTTAAATCTAGTTACCAAACTTCAGCAATTAAAAATTATTGGGGTCAATTGTAAGGAATGGCTAATGCCCAAGGAATGATCCCTAATGTACAATCAAATTAATGATGATGAATGATGCCAGAGCCTCCGAGTGTGACCCAGGGGTGTATTATCTCAAAGAAATAGAGAAGTCTATCATTGTAGAGCCAGGACTAGTTGTATGAGTTCCCGTGAAGTAAACAAAGCTGAATCCTCATGAAATGCTAATTGAGAGTATAGATTGGACTAAAAGAGTGGGACCTCCCAGTAATATACACATTTTATCGATTAGATTCTTATATTACAACTGTGTTGTGGAAAATTACATTTCTAATGCTGACATGCCAAGCCAATGAAGAAGGTATTTTTTGGCACTACCACTCAAAATAAATGAAATAGCTGGATTCTAATGTAAACCCTAACTATAGCCTGGCTTGCCACTTCAAGCTAGTTAACACACCAGTATATTCCAAAAAACAGACAGGGCGCACATAGTTGTATACACCTTTATTATCCACTAGTGTTCAGAAATAAAGAACCAAAGGAGTAAATTCAAAAACTTATAGTTACCACCCACTGCCCTTTGTACCATTTCTAATACTTGGTATCTTCGTGTTCCTTTTCTCCTTCTCTTAAGATTCCTTTTCTCCATCTGGGATAGTCAAACGACCTAATAAATACCATCTAACCTCTCTGTACACAAACCCACGTTCAGGAAAGGATCTCCTAATTATCTCATACACACTGAGGTACACATAAATAATATAGATGTAGTGCCACCCTCCCAGGATATTTCTATTTCAACAGAAAATTAATGTGTTTGGGTTATAATTGTGAAATTTCTAGTACCTACTAATAGGAAAATGTCTACTTTACCTACTTCTATAATGGGCTTTCTACTATCTAGAAATAATTTGCTAAAAACAAGATGTATCATTTGAAATCATGACCAAATCCTGATAGCTTTAGAACCTAATTAAGAAAAAAAAAATTTGTATTGCATTTACTGTTTTATAAATCATGCTCTTCCTTCTAAGAGCTGGGTAATAAATACCGAAAGCTTGTTTGCGTTTGATTCTTCATAACTACCCTTGGCATATGTAATCACTGATGCAACAAAATTACAAATATGCTAGTAAATCACATGACTGAACATAATTTTAAATTAAGTTTATATGCAAATAGAGCAATATGTTTTGATCTTTTGGAGAGCAGGTTCAATGTTTCTGGCTGAAATAATTTCCCCAGCTGTATTAACATATGCTACATGATTAAACTAGTATATTTAAGTCCATTACTAAGCATACATGTTTTTATAAAATAAGTTAACTTTGTGGCAATTAATAAATTAATAATACCTGTTGTCATTGCTAGCACTACTGTATTTAAAGAGTTCAAGTTATAAAACTGAATTTTATTTTAACAGGCATCAGGGAATAATAACGTAATGTTACGACATTTGGAAATGTTTCTGTATTTTGTGGCAGTTCAAAGAACTAATTTTCTCATATTATCAAATTTTCTCTTATGATTGCCTAAATATTGCCAGTGTTTTTTTTGTTATGGTGATTCTATTTCTGAAAGTTTAAAAATACATTGTGAATTTATAATCTCATCTTCTCTTTCCTCAATTCTGTGTGCAGGGCCCTGTATTTTTCCTTGAAGATGGGAAATCTGCTATCTCATTGAATGATGCTTTGATGTGGGCAAAGGTGAATCCATTCTCACCTTTAGGAACTGGAATACGACTCAATCCATTTTGAGAGAAGATTTTTTTCCATGCTTAGTTGTTTTATTTAAAGAAGAGCTTTTGTGGGTTAGTATTACCTTAATCTTGGTTGTCCAAGGACCAAAAGTTGGGAAGAGGATTAGGGATTGGGAAAATAACAGTTAATTTTATTCATTAACTTCAAGAAATAAAATACTTATATAATTTAAAAGAAAAATAGGTGACTCCTTTATAGAATGTAATAGCCACATTTGGGAGGAAGGTAATATTTAAATTATAAAGGACGAAATAATCTAAAAAGCATATAAAGTGTACAAAGTATAAAAGGTACAAAAATATTATATTGTTGAAACATTGAAACATAAAAAAGTACAACTCCTAGAATAGTGCTTGACATACAGTAAATACTTAATGAATATTTGAATGACCAAGTATCTTGAAATAAGGAAATGTTAGGTATGCACAGTTGATATTCAAGTTAACAAACACCTATGTTGTCCTTTATAAAGTGTATAGTAAACAACTAGTTTTAGTTCATATTTAATAAAAGTTTTCAGTTATAAGTTTAGTAAACATCAATAAATGGATACACAGTCAAAATACTTTTGAGTTTTATTTTTAAAAATTACCAAGTTTTTTATCTGAAGTTCAACTGTCCAATTATAAAAGTATAAGTTATACAAACATGAAAAAAATTGGGGGATGAAAAACACAAAATGCAGTCAAATATATATGAGAATTTTCATTAGATAATTGACTTTCAAAAGATATTCAATATACATGGATATTAGTTTTGATTAATGCATTTAATATTTATATAATAAACTCTAGTTTATATTAACTTTCTTAAAAAACACAATTTATGTGATGAAAATTAGTTTCAAATAAATTTCTATAAGTAAATAGGATACTAGTTGAAATTTTGGATACATTATGAAAATGTAATTTTAATATTTATTAAAAATGTAAAGTTATGAAAAGCCTGATATGTGACTACAAATATTTCAATTGGACTAGAATTCAGACCTTCAAATTTATGAAAGTAATGCATACTAGGAAGAATAGTATCTGATACTCAAGTAGTTTTCCAGGATTTATAATGTTGATGTTTTTGTCTGACTAAAGAAGGAGCTCAGTTACTAGAATAATGTCGCTTTTATCATCTTCAATTTTGTTGTATTTTAAATATTTTTAAAACATTTTTAAACAAGGTTCTTCAAATTGAAAACAATACATATTATGTATGTGTATCATATCACACTGAGCACTTTTAACTCCTCAAAAAGACATTACAGGCTTAAATTTCATTTTATAAAAACATATATTACAGAAGAGAAAATATGCAAATCAGAGATGCAATGGGTAATACAAAGTGTATCTGAGAGGCATTTTTTTTTTTTTTTAACTCTTAGTGATATCTGTAACTAAAATTTTTTTTAGGTGAGCAGGAGTATTAATTGGCACTTATATACTAAAATCCCCTGACGTAAAAATGAGAGTCTAAATTACACTGCCATTCTTTTAATTTTGTTTTAAAATAGGTTAATAAGCCTATCTTTGTTGTGCTTTAAGTACTTCAAAGGACATCATTAAGTTTTAGTTATACGTATATAAAAAAATCATTACCCTCTGCATTTTTAATGAATGCAGGAAAATAATATTATAAAATATTCATAAGTTTAGTATGAAGAAAAATTCATATAACTCTTAACACATGAGTATAACAAAAGAGTAACCTAATTTCTGACTAAAATCTAAATTGGATTGATTCAACTACTATTATTCTTTGACTTCTACAATGTTCTATAATATTATAACTATTCTTCATAGAATTATAAGTATATATCATTTAACTATGTCAATCTGTATACATTGTGCCTTAATATGAAAAAGAATTTTTTTTTAAATTTATAAAAGTATTTTTCATTGTTAGATTTCATATGCATAAAAACCCAAAGAAACAATATGAATTTATTTTATTATTTGAAGATGTCCATATTACCAGTAAGTGGACAAATTATTTTGCAGGTTTAAATATGCCTTTATGTAGGAAGAGAGTCTCATTAGACAATGATTTTTTAAGAATTGTAAAAATATTTTACCTATAAAAGTTACTACATGGTTAACAAAATTACAAATCAAAATGAGTTACATTTTGTGAAAATATGTGATTTTTATATTAATCAAATAAATGGGATATATACATATAATTCTATGAAATCAATCAAATGTTTTCAGAAACGTGGTTGCAATAGAGCGGATTTTATTGTCCTTCTAACAAGAAAATTTACACTTTTCTGCTTTTAAGTCAAAAGGCATTATAAATATAGTGAAAGCCTCACAAATTATTTGTAAGATTTAGTGTTTTATATTTAGTGTACCAGTAATACAGAAGATATCTTTATAATCTACTCTTAATAAATGCTTATTGTACCAAATCTTTGAGACAATTGTACCTAAATAATTGAAATATGTACTTTTATGCTCAATTTAAATACCATATAACTGTACTATATTATGGCATATCATTATTTAGATCTATATGTATATATGTATTTTAGGTCCCTTAAATTTTAATGAATACTTCTATTAATGCCTGATGAGACATAATTAACTGCTAAGATGAGCGGAAGTCTTGTCCCTAAACCCACCCTTGAGAGATACTGTTTCTTCATAAGTGCTAGATCAGAGTCATCAGAGGTATAAAGGACTAAGCTGTCCATCTGAGTTGTTACCTCGGTCAGAAACCTAGGAAAATCACTTCATAGGATTATTCCAGAGGCCAGTTCTCCACCTGTAAGAAACACTGACTACAATGTACCCCAAAATTTGTATAAAAAGGGAAAAGCACTTACTAATTAATACCAGTACAAACAGCATTTCACAGTAGCTTCTATTCCCATGATAAGCATTCTGCAAATTGATTGATCTGTTCCTATGGGGGCTGTTATAGCTCCTTGAAAAGTTCACTGCTTCCTTCCATCAAAGATCCTTTATGAAGTAAATGGTCTTCCTAAAATATGCCTGTAGAGTTGTCTTCTGGTGACAGAACTCATCCTCAAGAAGCTCTTGAGGTTACCCACTTTGAACCCTCCTTGCTATCTTAATTTACTTATAAATGAAGCCTACAGACCATAGATTCCACAGGAGTCTTGGGAACTTACCATGGTCAGGCCATGAGTGGACTGATTAGCTATTGCAGGAAATTGAACACCAAACCAAGAGAAACTTACTATTTGACTGTTCACCCAAAGCTAATCCTCTTCTCTGGATCTCTTCCACAGCTGAGCTTCAGAGACTTGTTTCTAAAACCCTTTCCTAAGGAACTACATTTTACAGGTTAAAAAATTATTCTCATAATTTTATACTTTAGATTGTTCTACTCAAATGCAAGACAACAGGTAAATTACCTGCAGCTTGTTAAAATATGCATTTGAACTAGATCTCTTACCTCAGGTAAAATTGGATTCTGAACACATTCCCAAGAAGTTATCTATATCATCAGGGCTCTGCTTAAGTTCTTTTATTAGATATTATCTTTCCAAAAATATAAAACTTAATTAGAAAGTCTCTGGAGGTATTAATGCTAATAATTTATTTGAACCTTCAAAAATGCAGAAAAACTGATAAGTAAGACTGTTAAGTTTAGCTGGTCCAAAAATATAAAACTTAATTAGAAAGTCTCTGGAGGTATTAATGCTAATTTATTTGAACCTTCAAAAATGCAGAAAAACTGATAAGTAAGACTGTTAAGTTTAGCTGGAAATTGATGTGCATGTTGTGGGATTCAGCATCCGTAATATTCATCTTGGAGGTTGAATAAAATAGTATTAAAACATGAATAATTCCAGTTGAAAAAAGTTTTCCACAAATGAATATAAAATTACCAAGAATATATGCAAGATAGTCTTTCTAGATATTAATCTGTTTCTGTAAAAAATATAGACATGGCAACAATCAGTAGGAATTTTTTAATTGGACTAAATGGATTGCTAAACACCAGAACCAAATTCCAAGGAAAGCAATGTTTTTTTTCCCTCCACACTCTTTATCAACAGAAAGGATACCTATTTTTTCTTAAATGGTTTAAATTAAGGCTGTTCATGGAGATGAGCAAGATTTTCTGTGGACCAATGTATAATAATAAGTATTCAGAATAAATTTTTATTAATGAATGAGTTGTGTAAATATATAATATCAGGCAATTAATTTCTAATGAGGAAACCTATTACAAAGTAGATTCACTATTTTTTCAAATATGTGTATTTTCAGATATGGTGTATATCATTATGTATAACTGTACCTTTAAAATCATTTTTGCTCATTATGTACTATTTATTTCATTTTGTATTTTCAACAGAACCTGGTTTTAATAAATAGTGTTTACTAAATGGTTGTTGAATTGAAAAGAGATGTTCTTTAGCCCAATTATGTATAAGACACCACTTTAATTTATTTGTTATTGAAATACATCCAAGACTAGGTGATTACATCCTGTTAGTATAGAGAGAGATGATGGCATCACTCCTTCAAAGCCATTTGACAGGTGCTTTTCAAAGTTTCTTTTCCGTGTTTCTAGTAGATTTTATAACAGAATCAGAGGATTGTTTTGCAGCTTGCTTCACATGAATTTCTCTATGTGAATTGCCACCATTACCTCTATTACCTAAGATATTTAAATAAATAAAATTAATTAATGGTTTTTAAATATTTATACAACCATCAATGTTTCTAATGTATCAAACATATTCAGACTGATTAGCAACAGGCTGAGCACAGGTTAATCTAAATACCTGATAAACAGAATATTTAAATCATGCATTATAGTAGTCATAGATTTTTTTTAAAAAAAGATCTGAGAGTCGGTCACCTTAAAAAGTCATCAGCAGGGGCTAAAAATATCTAGAGCTTATTTTGGTGCATCTGATACTGAATATGACTGAACTATTTTTAGATATTGCTTCAGAAAGCAGCTGAGGCAGCAGTGGCACAATTTTGTGCTTAGATTTGGCAAGTATACATGATTCATAATTCAGTTATGGAACTCTGATTACACTGAGGCTTCCAGACTGGCCACCCAGATTCTTTAGGTCACTCAGTTCTAATGTGAAGGGCCAATGACAGCTAAGAAATCTGTATTCCTTTGTCCCATAATTTTTCTAGACACTAGATTTAGGTAAACAGGTAGAGGAACTTTAGTGTTAAAAAAAAAAGAAAAAAGGAAAAACAAAGGTAACAGCCTACCTTACAATTAATTTTAGCTACCCTGTTTGATAATTAGAAGATTCTCAGATGAACAGCCTGTGATTTCAGTGCCATTATGTGCAATCTTAGATGGTAAATAGAGTTAAGTTCCTACAGTCTACTGTTCTTGCCTCTCCTTCCATTAACTTTCAAATTATGGTAGCTGAGCTGAACTTATTACTGTACCCTTTTATCAGAAACAAATGAAATGGAATCCCTTTAACAAATTTAGAAACAATTTAATGCTTAACAAAACAGTTCCCATCCATATAATTACCAAAGTTAAATCCTCACCATTCATTAATTCTTTGTATGGCTAGACTAAAAGAATTCAAGTATCTGGAACAGGGTTGAGAGAAGTAAAAAAAAAATAAATGTATGTTCACCTTCCTATCCTGATCTGCCTTGTCCATTGAAGGCTTTCATAAACCCATCAGCCATTTTGAAAAGGAAAAGACCATTGGAGTGAAAGAGAATCATAAAAGAGCATCCAGAGAATCATAAAAGAGAACACGGAGAGAATAAAATGGAGGAGGAGTTTGTAGCAGTTCATACATTTTTAAAATTGTAAAAGCAAAAATCCATTCTACTCAGAGTCCTGATATGAAGCAATGATAGCATACAGTTTTTCCAAAAACTCATATGTGAGACTTGAAAGTTTTCCAAAAAGATAAGAGAAATGAGAAATACTCGACAATTCAAATATCAGTGGGCATCATTTTTTTTTATATGTGGCCCATTTGCATCTGTTTCTTGCACAGGAAGGAAGCCATGCTGAGACTCATTACTCCTCCTTCCTAGCTTTTCACTGCAGTCCCAGAGCAGATGGTCATGCCCTTTCCCACACCCAGGAAGTTCTAATTAGTCACAAGGAAAAAGGGGTAAGAAGGGGCTGGGGGGACTGGGCAGAAAGTACCTGCCTGCTGTCTCCTTCCCCTGTGTCTGTGCCCATCACAATTCCCTCCTCCCACGCTCACCCTACTGCCCTGGCTTTGACTGCCCTGCTAGAACTTTTATCACAAAGATCACTAACAAGAAAGTTGAGGCTGATTTAAGGAGAGGATGCATTTCTAGAATCTGAAGGTGAAATTATACATTTTTTTTTTCACAGAAACATTGTTATTCACTTCTGTTGAATTCTGTCATAGTAACTGCTAGTCCTCAGATATATGAGTTAAAGGGGTTTTGATGGGCTGCCCTGATGTGTGGATATTAAAAAGGATGTTGTGAGGTACACTAGTTCTACAAGGCCATTAAAACAAAACTAAATAATAGTGATGTGTGATCAAATAGTTTGGAAAACACTTTATTTAGTACCTACTTTCTCTTTAATATTTACAATGCATGTTAGCATGTTAAAGGCTTTGAGAAATCATAAGTTTTAAAAAAAAGAATCTGTTGACATTGCTCTCCCAGACCTTATGTAAACAAGGAACGCTTTCCCCAGTGAAATATTTCTTAACACTCTAGGAAACGTGCTCTGTAGCAGACAGAGGTCTACAAACACTTTCTGTAAAGGGCCTGATAGTAAATAATTCAGTTTTTGTGATAGGGTTGCCAGAAAAAATAAGGGACACCTAGTTAAATTTGAATTTCAGATAAACAATGCATAATTTTTAGTAAAAGTGTCCTAAATATGTGCTCAAAGTTATTTGTTG